TTGAGCATGTGCTATTACCTTATATGATGTAATGAGCAGCTTATTACCACTATCGTGTGGCTGAAAAATTGAAGCTCAGTGGAGTTAGGTGAGTTGTTCAAGGTCAGAGAGCTGGGATTCAACTCAAGGACTTTGATTTGACATTCCACGGTTGCTACTATACCCTGGTGCTTCTTAGCATAAAGGCAAAAGTGCTTTGCAAATTAGAATACATAACATGAACATTAGCTGTTCTGGGTAGATTCCCTCTGCAAATATTCAGAGAATGTGTATGTGCCTGGTATCTGGGAACAAACTTCAAGGCTACAAACAAGATGTTCACAGTCTACTGACATCTGTGGGTAATCCCCATCCCAATGACTAATACTGTAGATGTTGGAATGAGGTTCTCAGCTGAGTTCTCAATTACAAGAAAACCTCTGAGAAACTCAAAGTGCTGCCTGTGTGTTGCAATCTAGGGCCACTGGGGAGGAGGAGGAAGGGGCAGGCACACAGATGACACAGTTACACAACTAACTGTGATGGACACATGCAAAATGCGAGAGGAAGACCAGAGCATTGTGGAGGACACAGGGGAGTTGAGGGCCTTTGGCTGGGCAAGATGGGTCCAAGGGTGAGGATTCAACAGGCAGAGGAGAAATGGGTCTTCCTGATCACTTGGAGTGCCCATTTCTGCAAGTCTAAATGCTATTGATTCCAGTAAAGGCCAAGCTCTGTTACATCCCTGTTGACACTGACAGCTAGCAAGTCTTTTCAATGAACTCTTAAAGGGTCTTATTTGGGTGTCTCTTATGCTTGATATCACACTGTACCTTGCTTATAGCTAATGAAGCACTTATAACTGTGTATCTTAAGTTTTTGACAATGGATTACAGAATGCTGATTAAGAGTCAGCTTCTGAATTCCAAAAAAACTCATATATGAGTCATTGTCCCACCACTTACTGTCATCTTAGGTAAGTTACCCAATCACTCAAGGCCTCAGTTTCCACCTCTATGAAATGGGGATGCCAATAGTCATTGGATGAAATGACATAAAGCATTGATCTTGTATAGAGCCAGGTACGTAAGTAATTATAATAATTAAGTGCCATGATTACATCATTACCATTATTTTTATTTTTTGGAGATAGAGTCTCACTCTGTTGTCCAGGCTAGAGTGCCATGGCCTCAGCCTAGCTCATAGCAACCTTAGACTCCTGGGTTGAAGCAATCCCTTTGCCTCAGCCTGCTGAGTAGCTGGGACTATAGGTGGCCAACCACAACCCCTGGCTAATTTTTCTATTTTTAGTAGAGATGGGATCTCACTCTTGCTCAGGCTGGTCTTGAACTCCTGAGCTCAATGATCTTCCTACCTTGGCCTCCCAGAGTGCTAGGACATTACCATTATTGACATAATCATTAATGCATGTCTGTCATCCTCAAGTGAATATACTCTCTATGAAGGGAGGGGCCGTGTCATATTGAGTGCAGTATCCCTAGAGTTTAGCATCTTTCGGGGAACATAATAACATTATCATCTAGTCAATGAAGATTATAATCATTTCAGTATGTTTTGTAACACTGAACAAACTCCTTGGGGAGTTCGTCACACCTGTAGCACCTTTGATGCCCACATGGAGGAGACTGTCAGGAATCGTTTGCTGAATGCAATAGTTGTTTCTCAACTATGCGTGCTCTGAGTGTTTGGAGCAACAGGCCAAAGCCAATGCACCACTCCTCAGAGCCTGAAAAGTGTGTCCTAATTGCAGAAAAGGAAGCCAGCTGAAAATAAACAAGTGTCCCGACTGCTGGCTCTATACCTACAAGGACCTTTAAAATCACCAGCAAAGGACTGAACATCTACTTGAGCCCTCTATCTCAGAGCTTTAGTGAACATTATCCTTTAAAAATATCTATATCCTTTAACAAGCCACAGTGTAGAATTTTTGTGATTTTTGTTGTTTTTTTGGATTGGATATTATGATTTCTTATCACAAATTTTAAAGTTGGGCAAGTTTTTTTTTTGTTGTTGTTGTTTTTGAGACAGAGTCTTACTTTGCAGCCCTTGGTAGAGAGTGCTGTGGCGACATAGCTCACAGCAACTTCAAACTCTTGGGCTCAAGTGATTCTCTTGCCTCAGCCTCCCAAGTAGCTGGGACTATAGGTGCCCTCCACAACACCTGGATATTTTGTTTTTAAAGACAAGGTTTTGCTGTGAGATCAGGCAATCCACTCACCTCGGTTTCCCAGAGTGCTAGGATCACAGGCCTGAGCCACCACTCCCAGCCAAGGAAACATTTTTTTAAAAATGCTGTACTTCTCTTTATCCCTCAAATAATGTTTTTCATAAAAATGGGAAAAAACTTTATTTAGATAGTAATGAGCAACAGGGTTAGAATTTGTAGTTTTATTTTTAACCTGAGTATGGAATCCTATGTGTTCTTAATTTCACATTTTCCTCATTTTGTAGATAAAGGGCTAACATCCTCATCCAGTGGCCTTTCAACACATCACAGAAAAAACTTTAGGAACCATTATATGATTTGCAACTATAGGCAAACCAGACTAATCTCATTTTCATTCGTCTTTGCATTAAAAAAGGAGGGCACTATTACGGATTGAGCGGGTAGAATGTATCAGACACTGAACTAGTCTTTGTGTGCCTTATTTTCATTTAAATCTTACTGTAAGGTCCTTTTTGAGGCACCAAGTATTAGTCCCATTTTACAGATGCAAAAACCAAGCCCTGAGAGGTTATGTTAAATCATTGAATTTAGGAAGGTGCAGCTGGGACTTGAACCAGGATTGCCTGACTCTAAAGTCCAGGCCATTGGGCCAGGCATAGTAGCTCATACCTATAATCTTAGCATTCTGGGAAATCAAGGTAGGAGGATCACTTGAGCTTAGGAGTTCAAGATCAACCTGAGTAAGAGTGAGACCCTATCTCTACTAAAAATAGAAAAATTAGCTGGGCATTGTGGTGGGTGCCTGTAGTCCCAGCTACTTGGGAGGTTGAGACAGGAAGATCACTTAAACCCAGGAGTTTGAGGTTGTTGTGAGCTATACTGAGGCCATGGCACTCTAGGCCTGGGCAACAAAGTGAGACTGTATTTCTAAATAAATGAATAAATAAATAAAGAAGTAAGTCTAGGCTGTTGCTATGACATAACATTTCCTTTTTATTTTCATGGTGATTTCTTCATTATTAATGTTTTAAGACAGAGTCTCATTGTGTCACCCCAGGTAGAGTGCAGTGGTGTCATTATAGCTCATAGCAAACTCAAACTCCTGGGCTCAGGCGACCATGCTGCCTCTGTCAAGTAGCTGGGACTACAGGCACACATGACCACATCTAGCTAATTTAAAATAATTTTTGTAGAGACGGAGGTCTCCCTCTTATTCAAGCTAGTCTTGGAGTCCTGGTCTCAAGTGATCCTTTTGTCTCAGCCACCAAAGTGCTAGAATTATAGGCATGAGCCATCACACCTGGCCAATAGCAGTGTTTTAAAGATTATTTTATACTTTCCCTAGTGGGCTCAGCTAAGCAGAGAAGCCAGGGGATAATGGTTCAGGGTGGAAGAAGGGACAACTGGAGAAGTGCCTATAGTCACAGTGTTGAGTCTGCTTCATGTCACTGAAAGTCATGTCAGCACCTGGTGCCAAAGCAAGCTGTAAGAACAAGGTTCAGTCAGAGGAGGGTGAGTAAATGCGTGTGGTACAGGTGGCGGATGGCTCCGACAGTGATGGAAATCATGCTCTTTTCATTTGGCAGCATTTTAGAGAATATTTTATTGGGATTTTGTTTATTTAGTCAACAGGCTATGTGAACGTTACAGCTTCCTTTCATGCTGAGTAGAAATAAACAAAGGGCTCCACTTCCACCACTCTGAGCTTTGGTCTATACTTAAGGTCAACATTGTCATCTCAGCCAGAACACCCACGCCCATTCCAGTCTGGGCACTCACCTCTGTGTTCTGTAAATCACAGTCAGCAGAGCGATGATCACAGCAGTAATCAAACCATAGTCCAATCCCAGGAACAAGGAGGACACAAACGTGGTCAGCCAGATGGTCTAAAGCAAAACAGAAAGTTTATGGAGAATTGTGTTAAAAATTCCATAAGAATTAAACATGCACACACACGACTTTCACCTTCTCTTTCTCACATTTTCCCACATACTAGCACTAACCAGGCTTGCTGCTATGACCCATAAACCTAATCATCACTTTGTTACTTACCAGCTCTATTTTGCTGGTTCTCCAGAAAAAGGGGAGATCTGAGAACTGCATAAACATTCCCTTCAGGTTGACGATCACAATGGCGGACAGCACAGCCTGAAACAGAGCACATCCCCACATGCCTCTCCTGTCCACAGGGCACATCCCCGCATGCCTCTCCTGTCCACAGGGCACATCCCCGCATGC